CACTCAAATATGGGATTCAAACAAGAAAGAAGAAGAATATGCATAAAATCCTAAGAGGGGAAGAAACCATCACTACCCTTTCATGTTCTAATCACCATTAATGAACCCATTCTCCCCCTTACCTTAATTCCAAGCTTGATTTCTTCCTAACAATGGTGGAACTCTTGATCTTCTCTTACTCTAGCTTTGCTTCTTTCTACTCTCTTTTCTCTTTTTACGTGTAACTGATTCTTTCTAACCTCCTTACCGCTACTCCCTAATTATCTCTATTTCCATAATTTTAGTAATAATAATATTACCATTATTATTAGGGACAACTATTCCATGTTAATAATAATAATAATAATGAAATATTCCATCACTATCAATATTATTACTACCATAATATTATCCTAAGACTTATTTAAATTAATTCATTATACTAAGCCCTCACACTACATTTACATACATACCCTTAACTAAGCCAATGCCAAAACAATTAAACGGAAAAAAAAATCATAAAATGACTAAATATTTAAATGGGCTGTTACATCCTTCGTAAACCGAGATTAGTAGAATGGATCATTGTTTGAGTTAGCTTTTAAAGAAATACACAAATCAATTCTAGCCAAACTCGACCTTCATGCTTGCACTCCAATCAGCTGAAAGAGATTTGTAGGTGTATCAGACCATCATCTTACATTATATAGCTCGAGCTGATTGGGTGCAGACATGGCCTATGCCCCTCACCGGGGCTGGGCCAATCCAAATTTTGCTTCAGGTGGTGGTTGATGAGACTACAAATCAAGTACATAAAAGAGAATAGTTAAATCTAAATGAAAAGCTAAAGGATGATATTCACAAGCAACAGTTGCCGGAAAGGAAGTAAAATTTTGGATAATCATCAAATTGAACCATGCAATTGCAGTATGAAATGAGGAAAAACTGACATTGTGAAGTGCAAAAAAGGTGCACAATGCACTACTTAGTCATACCATCCTCGGTGACTAATCACACCATCCAGAATATATTAGAACAAAAAACAATTTTGCAAGTGTAATCTAATAAAAAGTGAAGCAAAATCCTTGTAGTATAAAACATGTTCTGAGTAACATGAAAATTATGCACCTTGATAAAACATAGTTTAGGACTTGATCAATCACAAATAGACGTTTTTTATATAACAAATAGAGGATTTAGTAACTTCATATACCTGTGCAAAGGGCTGGTGAATATGTTCGAGATGGTAAAAGGCATTACAGGATGTTGACACAGATACTGAGGTGAATGCAAGTACATGGTTGATAAAGAGTATGCACCAACTTGATTATGATTAAATGGTGACATCGTGGTCTCTGGATATCCATATCAAATTTTAGCAGGTGCTGATTGTGTAACCCAAGTTTCTGATATATGATGCGGAAGAAGTCGTGGTTGGTGTTCAGCGGATCATTAGTGGTTAGAAGGAGATCCAAGCTGTGGAAACTCAGTGTTGTAATTCAATACTGGAATAATAAAATATTAAAATCAATTAACAATAGCCTCATCTCTCTTTTACATCAGCGAGGCGCTTCCTAGTCACATGGATAACAGATAATGGATCACCAGGATAACCAAGGTATATTAAGTTCTCCACACTAAAGGTTGGGTTTAGCAGTGTCATGGGTGCCCACTGTCCAGAAAACATATATTATATGTATTAAAAACAAATCAATGGTGATGTAAATTTAATGTTATGTGCACTGAAAAGATACATATACCAAACATAAAGTCATATATCATTTAAAATTGAGGAAACCTTGAATCTCAAAACCCTATCCAAATTGAGTGATAAAAGCGCATGTAGAAACCCATCAGTATCAACAAAATATTATTTAACAAAATTTAAGAAGGAGTGGAGAGAAAGATAAAAAACTTGTGCACCTTTGACAAAAATGCATCAAGTGATTGTCTTGGAAAAACATTCCTTTCTACAACATCCTCGTATGGATTTCCGATCTATGGGCCGCCGTTAAAAATTATAAGCATAAAATAATTTTGTCAAGAGTCCTCATTGACATTTAGACTTGAGAAAGGTATATGATCTTACCGAACAATCAGAACCTGAGATGGGCCAAGGACAAACATTTGTGATGCTGGGTGTGAAAGAGGAGGAGTGGGTGTACCTGCAAGGCACTCTGATGCTAAAGTAAGAAAATTAACAAGTACAAAATATGTGTGTTTTAAGGTGAGAAATTGGATACCTGACCCTCTCAAATGAGATGGTTTTTATAATGCCCTCAGCGCTTGGCCGTTGGTCCCTATTTTTGGGGCGAGATAACCGTTTTTCGAAGAATAGGTAATTTTCAGAAATAGCCGTTGGGACGGGCAGACGTGCTCATAACTAACCGTTGGCACGAGCAGGGGTGTAGTTACGGGCACAAGCGTCTTGGATGTTTCTGGATGGTGGAATCGTGTGTGACAGGCAGAGACTAACGGGGAGAAGTGTCGTGACCAAGGGTAAATAGGTCAACCTTCCCTGTTGGAGGGGCAGAAAGGTAAAATTTTTCCTAAAGAGGTTGGACTTAGACAATTGGGTCGTTATGGGAGCAGAAGTGGGTTGGATCATGCCTAGCCATTGGGCCAGTCCGGAACAGTATATATACGTAAAAAAAGGTGTCATAGCTGAACTTTATAAAAACATTAGTCCGAGGTATATACCACATCCTTAAAGCACGTGTCATGTGTACATTTGAAAAATTGCACAACATAAGAAATATTCCACCACATCACACTGCTATATTATCAACTTCATATGAAAGTAGTGCAAATAAAGCCACCATTTCATGGTGGAAATTAAAGTACATTTATCTAGGCACGCATTTGAAAGAAAACAATTTACCTTTCCAGGGTAGTGGAAAACAATTCTTTAAGTTCACGGGGTCGCAACATCCCATCATAGAGGAAGGAAAAGATATGGTTAATTTTCACATTGTATAACAATAAAGTCTATTGAGAGAATGTCCAAAAATGATCGGGGAACAACATGAAAAATTGAAAGTATTCAAGGTCATATGTGGAAATGACATAAGAAATCAACATCAAATGTATCAAAAATTGTCTTCAAGAAATCAATGGCTTCATTTGTCAACTCAACACTCTGTAGAGATTAAATCCAATGAGAGTAGAAAATATATAAGTTCTAGCTGTAAGTAAATTAAACATACAAACATGTATAACAAATAAAGAGTGTGATACACGGGACCACAATTCATCTCAAAAGAACCACCTGATCAAGAGTGTATTTCAAAGGTGGAAATAAATCATCAGCGAGCTTGAATATCATCGTTATATCCAAACTTCATGAGCACAATCCATATGGTCTCAAGATGCACTTTTCCTATGAAAAGAGCATGAAGAAATATAAATAGAAATCCATGTGGACTCAACACTGATTGACTATATGGAAAGTAGCAGAGGGAGAATCAGAGACGAAGGAGAAAAAAGGGCAGTGAAGATCTAGGGTTTTGAGGGGAAAGATAGATGAGAGAAAAGTGTAGGAGAATGAGAAGATAAATTTTGAAACGTAAATTTGATAATAAGTGCGTGACACGTGTCATTCAAAGAGAGGTTTGAGAGCATTTTAATTGTGCCATTTATTAATTACCAATTTATCCATAATATAGTATAATAAAATTTTGGTGGAATGACAAAGGAGACAATATATGCAATTTACTTTTGATAGGTTGATAGTAAAATTTTTAATATATCTATATTTTTTAGATAGATAGTAGTTGAGATAGTTGATAAATAGTTGATGATAATAATAATATAATAATTAGGGGTGTGCAGAATCCAACCCAACCCGAAGACCCGTCCCAACCCAATAGTTTCGGGTTAGTCTTTTTCCCGTGTCATGTAAAAAAATGGAAAAACATGACTGTCCAAAAATAAACCCGGTATCAAGTGAGACGGGTTCAGGTTGACCCTTGGGTTACCCAACCCGTCCTAATATTATGAATACACATGTGGTACTATTTATTTATTTAATTTATTAATATATTTAGATTATTCCAAATTAACAATAGACTTTTCCACTTTCTACCTCAGAATTTAACATATGCACTAAGTAAATATTAAGTACACATCTTTCTACTTTCCAACTTTCACACTTTTCTACTTCTCTTACATCATATTTTTTATTTTACATCTTTTTACTATTTTTTAGGGAAAATAAAAAGGTGATGACATATATAGAATTACATCATGTTTTTTATTTTTAAAAATTGACTTTAGATGTATTCGTTGTTTTTCATTCATACTAATTATTTTATTCATATTTCTTATTTAAATGAATTTTTTAAATACTATAATAAACTTTTTAAGTCACTAAATTTTTTTCTCCATATATTTCGGGTCAACCCGATATCGTCTTATATTAGCCCGATCTAAACTAACTTATATATTATCGGGTTTTTTACGGATTTAGGTACGGGTTCGGGTCATTAAAATAGTCCGATCAAAATTTAAAACAGGATTAGGGTTAGTCATAACCCATCCCGACGCGTCCCTTGCTCACCCTTAATAATAATAATAATCATGTAATATCAAATTTGGATAAGTGGATATGATAAATTGTGAATAGCCGGGTCAAATTACTACTCTAGTTGGGCCACATAAGCCCATCGGGTAATTGTTAGGATAGGAATGGTCCGGATGAGTTTAGCGATGTAATCGGCAATGAGACCGCGACCACAGTAACCCTACTCAACAGCCTTTTTCTTCTGCTTTGGCATTCTATTGATAGATAGATTAGATTAGAGACTGCAATTGCTGCGTGTAGCTTTCTTTTTCCTCCTCGCCCTCAAATTCAATCCATATCCCCAAAACTACACAAACACCCTCGCTTCCATCTTACTCACGCACAACACAGACGGTATCTATCTCTTTTTCTTTCTCTCTATCATATTATAAACCCTAGATTCTTCAATTAATGCTTCGATTCAATGTTTCTGACGAATTGATTTCGTTTTTGTGTTCAGATGGATAGATATCAGAGGGTGGAGAAACCCAAAGCAGATACTCCTATCAATGAAAATGAGATCCGCATTACCACTCAAGGAAGGATGAGGAATTATATCACATATGCTACCACTCTCTTTCAAGTTAGTTATAACCCCAATGTTTTTAAATTAATGCTAATCGAGTAACTCTTACTTTCTCTTAATGCCGAGTGGAACTTGTGTTTTCAGTTTTTTTTTTTTTTAAAACGGTAGATTTTATGCATGTTTATTAATGGAGTAGATTTTAAGATTTATGTATCATTAATCCATTATTAAAAATTAAATGTGCTGTTAATGGGTAAAAACTCATACACTCGTATGAATGATTTAGAATGAAGTGTCTAGAAAGACTCATGTAACGTTTAAATGAAATTTAGTATCATCATTGGAAATATGATAAGCCTAGAGGAAGGTGAAGAGAAACTGATTACAAGAAATTAACAATGAATTTCCAAAATCAATCTGTGAAAGGAATTTCTTGAAATTACAACATATTTGATGCCGGCGGGAGAAAATTAAGAGAGGGCCATACAAGTTATAGTGACAAGCATGATTGAACAGAGTTCTAGATAGACAATAGATGTACAAAGTGAATTTATAATCGAATGCATACATTGATTTTTCTGAGTGATAGAGTGTAGGTTTGGAGGGAACAATGATTCCCTGAGTTGTCAAGTTTTATGTGGGGAGATATTCATACTGGGTAATCAATTCCAGATAGCGACATAGAGTGGAAAAAAACAGAAACAAGGAGATAGAGAGGAGGAAAAACAAGAGAAGGAAATAACCAATAACAGATTAGACATATAAAAAAACAGAAGGATAGTAGGAAACTGGAAACAGAGAGGAGAAAACAAGAATCCGGTGACATGATGGCTTGCAGAAAATAGGTAGTAGAAAAATTTCTGAAAAGGGAACAGAAATATTCTCTGCAAACGCAGAGAAGAGGAGAAGACTAGGGATTGCCTGCGAAAACCCCAAAATACCTCCATAATTATAAAAGGGCGATCTTGGTTTTTCTAGACAAATCACATGTTCGTTTGCGAAACACACTACATAAACTGCAACCACACAGGGAATAACCACAATCTTAATATGCCCCCGCTCTGAACCACATGATCCAGTGTGATTGCTCTGCAAACCACCGCTATGACTACCTAGATTGGACATTGCTTTTCCTATACAGCCCTTAGCACTTCCTTATTTTTGTTTTAGATAACTCTAGATATTTTATTCTCATGTTGGTTAATGTTTACTTAATTTAGTTACATTATTTTTTTTTGCTGTTTTAGGACTTTCTCTTTTATTTTGATTGATGTAATACATGCATGGAAGTATCAAATAATCTAGAAGCAACTAATATTTTAAAATTTCTCCCCTGACTTCTAATATTGATCTGCATATGTTTTCTGTAGGAGAAAGGATCGGATGAAATTGTTGTCAAAGCAATGGGACGGGCAATAAATAAGACTGTAATGATTACCGAGCTAATAAAGGTGAGGGGTTGATATCATTATGCAGTAATTTGGTTGGCATTTTTTTTTGGTCTTACTATTTTGACTCCTATTTCTACTTGTTTCAGAGAAGGATTGTTGGTCTGCATCAGAATACTCAAATTGGATCAACTGATATAACGGACACATGGGAGCCACTAGAAGAAGGCCTTCTTCCGTATGGCTTATTTTTTACTCTATAATCTATTCCACCTTATCAAATATTTGTGTGCATGAGTGTGATTGTTTTGTTTGTGTTTTACTTGCTCAGTTTGGAAACTACCCGTCATGTTTCGATGATCACAATCACCTTGTCAAAGAAAGAGCTGGATACATCCTCTATAGGGTAAGAACTTTCATGATTACTGTAAGGCGTCTTATCTCTAAATTTTGTTGTTAGATGATTTATCTCTATAATTTATCTTCAATGAGCTTGGTTGATTTCATTCGCTTAGTTGTTTTATTGTCACTTTGTTGTTTGGCTGTCTTTCACATTATGTTTTAAAATTCAATCTTTTTTTTATTTTATTTTAATTGTATTCTCTCTGGCAAGATCTAAATTTGTTTTTTTTTCCTCGTGCAGATATCAACCTCCTCTACCAGTTGATCAAGTAAAACCTTTAAATGAATATGAAGACGAAGGAGGTGAGTTAATAGTCTTTTCTTTTGTAATTTCAAATGAAGGAGGTGAGTTATTATTATGCATGTTTAGTTGTTAAATATAATTTTGAAACAGAAGGCTCACCAAGGATGCGAGGAAGAGGGCGAGGTCGTGGAAGGGGCAGGGGTAGAGGTAGAGGAAGAGGTATTACAAAATCTTTTGTTTTACTTATTTAACTGTAATTGGATGTGGCATAAATTATAGAATGGTCTGAAATGCTTTCTTGAACTCTTTTATGGTTTCTTTTATAATAAAAAATGATCTTATTGTGATGCAATTTATTCTTTGTAGGAATGTACAATGGGGGTATGGAATATGGAGATGGTTGGGATGGTGGCCGTGGCTATGGTGGCAGAGGGCGTGGCCGTGCATGGGGCCGTGCTTTCCGAGGACGAGGACGAGGCTTTGGTGCCCAGCCTGTTGGTTATTACGACAATGGTGAATATGATGCACCACCTGCCCTACGTGGTAAGCATGCGAGTCCACCATATTCAGGTTTCCTGATATAGATAAACTGTTGTCTATAAATGTATTATCAAATGAAGTTTGATTAATACCAGTTGTGTGCTGTCTCATACAAAACAGATTTGTTTATTTTAGTCCAGTCAAGTATTTTGCTGTATCCTATTTGCATTAGAAAGTTACGTAATTTTTTTGCCAATTGTTTTCCTTGTTGTGATTGTTAGTTTCCTTTGTTCCTTGTGTTACCATCTTGTTTTGGCATATTCTATAGGGGTCCCTTCAAGTTGCTGTAGTAATTTTTGTTTGATGATGTGCAGGCCGAGGTCGTGGAAGGGGATGGGGCGGTGGTCGTGGTCGTGATGCAGGCCAAGGTGCAGCTGCCTGATCACCTTGGTGTTGGTTCTCGTGTAAATGTTCGGTTAGCAGAGGGTTGCCTCGCCTCTCTGCTTAGTTATTTGTTAGCTGTTAATTTGGTATTATTTGAAGCGCCCAGTGTTCCATGTTCCTGAAGTTTTGTTTTTGTAGTTTCTTTCCCTTGTAACATCTATAATTTAAGTTAGGGAGGTTGAGTTAGGTATATTTATTTTAGACTTTGAAAGAGTCAAAATAATCAAATTTTTCATATAGAAATTATCACAGCAAGTTTTGTCATGTTTGCTTTGTAGTATTTGGCACTTTCATTTCTATTCTTGAAATTTTGGTAAGGATTGATGTCCCCCTTTTTTGTTCCCTTGACAAAACAGAGCATTACTTTTATGTGTTGCGAGAGAGGAGGGTCTTTTCTTAATTAAATGATGAGAGGTTTTAAGAATACACTCCTCCATTGTGTATTTTTTTATCTTTTGTTTAAAATAGTGAATGGTGTTGTTAACGTGTCAATGACTAAGAGCATCTTTAGTGCAGGTTCTGTAGTATTATATTCTTTAATAGTGTCAATGACTAAGAGTATCTTTAGTGCAGGTTCTGTAGTATTAAATTCTTTAATAGTGCTATAAATAATTTGCATTGGAATAAGAATGATATGACAGTAAGTGAACTAACAATTAGTTTTCGACAGTTATATAACCAACGTACATTATCAAATTTTAATAATGACTCTGATTATTATTTTATAATATTAAAATATAAAACGTGAGGTCAAATTTTGGTTTTTTTACAAGCAATCATCATTAAAGTAAAAACAACTCAAATCAACTATAAATTTTTAAAATCCTACAAATTACTTTGGGTCCACAAAAAGTATCTTAGTTTATCAATTTAGTTTACTCCCACTAAAGATGCTCTAAATTGATGTGTATAGATGACTAAATTGCTGTGTATATATCTGCATTTAAAATTGATTTTTTCCCCTTATCGAGTGTTGATAATATGATAAATTAGTAGAAGACTCGTGCGCACGAGTAAGATGATTCATATTTTAGATCATTTAATAAGGGTTGATTGTTGATATATATTTGTTATTATAAAATTAATAGTAATTATTTTTTTTAAAAAAATGTAGCAAATAACTAACATGATAAATCGATTTTTTTAAAATAACATATTAATTCAAATTAAATACCGAAATAACATATTTTTCAAATTAATTAGCAAACTAATTATCTTTCAACATGTATGCACCAAATCAATTGGAGTCAGATCATTATCCTAAGAGTGCACATGCTATTTGATTTGACACATCAATGGTTATTTGAAAAAGTTATATTGGAGTCAGATCATTATCCTAGGAGTGCATGTGCTATTTGATTTGACACATCAATAGTTATTTGAAAAAGTTATAGTAAATGTGCCATATTATATGACGCATGAATGTTTTTTTGGAAAAAATATAGAGGAGGCGCTAAATAATTTGGCACCTACGTTATTTTTAATTTTTTTTTAAAATTAAAACTGTGCCAAGTTTATTTATTTTTATCGGATAGATACACTATATGATATGACTACTATACTATTTCATTTTTTTATAAATAAAATCGTATGCTCTAGAGCCGGCAAAACGGGTCGGATCAACCGGGCCGATCCGAAAGCCCGCCAAAAAATCCGGACTTGAACAAAAAAATAAGGCCAATTTATTATCCGGGCTTTTAAGCTCGAACCGTTAAAAGACCGATTTTTAATCGGGCTAGCCCGCTTAGTTTTTTTTAATGAATTTTAGACCTTATTGTTAATTTAATTTGTAAAATTTAATGTTATCATTGAGAATTTTACTTTGTTTTGAATCCTTGTTCAAATGAAAAAGACAAACAATGCCCCAAGGGAAATGTTATAAGTTATATTTTGGTGTGTACAACATTATTATCATTTTCTAAGTGAAATGAAATGTCATACTGGTACACTTTCTATTTGAAATGTCATATAATTTGACGCTATGATAAAATTAGAGTATGGTGTGTACAATATCCTAATAGTATTATATTATTTTTAAAATAAAACACTCACTTTTTAATTTTAAAAAAACAAAATTATAAATATAAACCAGGCCGCCCGAAAAACCGTAGCCCGTGAAGGGTCGGGCTTGGTCAATCAAATTGTGATCCGTTTATAATCCGGGTTTTTTAGCCCGATCCGCACTAAGTCCGAGCCCGTCATGGGCCAGTCCGTTACGGGTCGGGTAGTTCGTTTTGCCAGCTCTAGTATGCTCATTTGTCACTCCACAAAATTATCACCATTATCCTCAACTCAATCTAAAAGAATGTCAGCATTCTTAAATCAGCGTTCCTCATTATCGGAGGAACCGCTACCAACATTTCCACTTATGAAAAGAAATGCCCTAATTTTTTTTCCAGCGACAAACCCTCCGATGAAGGTCCTACTCTGGAACACGTAAACCTTGGAGCATATTCATAGGGAATTGAACTGCTGGCTAGAAGGAGAAATTGCTGCAGTTGAAAAGATCAAGAAAATTGAGATGCAAGTTGAGGAGTCAGGCCCAAATGGAGTTACTCGTGCTTGGAGAAAAGTGGTAAATGATGCTGATGTCCTTATGATGATGTTAACACCAAAGGATATTATCTTGATGGTTGTAATATCTTAGATAAGTTGATGCATTAAGTTGTTTTTATTTGGGTAAGTTGTTTTATTTGGGTATGTTGTTGTTATTTTCCGATTGTTGAGAATGGTGAAGACTTCTGTTATTAGGTTATGTCGTTGTTAATTGTTGTTGTTGAGAAATTAAGTTATGTTTGTTTAAGTTATGTCGTTGTTAATTGTAATCGCTTAGTTATGCTATCAATGAAATGGGATTTGTTGTTGAATAAAAAGACGAGGTTATATTTAAAACTATGATCTTGTGCTTGATCCTACATTGAGACATTTTGTACGATTGTGTCTGGGCTGACGAAGTACATAATTTGACCATTTTGTTTTCCGTATCCATCTCCGTTCGAATACGCGTGCTATTAGGGTGACCCTTTTTCTTTCTTCGCATTAAATCATTATGCCAGACAATTTCACTTTCGTATGGAGGCCAATAATCCTCCTTTGCTACCACCTGAAAGCTAATGCTGTAGACATTTCATATACTAATGGCTTGGTGAACAATAGAAACATAGTTGGTTGGGTCTCGACGAGCCTTTGAACATGCTGCTATAACATGAGAGCAATGCATATGAAATGCCTGAGACTTTCCACAGTCACACCAACTCCTATCTAGTTCCACTCGGTAACATCCCTTAGGCCTCCCTTCATTATGATCAATTGACTTTGCAACGCTGAACCGACCTTTATTGCGGTCAAAGACTGTGACCACATGTGTGTTGGCTTTGACAACTTCTTCCTTCATGAATTTTATTGAACTATTACTGAACAGCTGCCCAGATTGTAAGATAGAACCCCACTTTGTACGTCTGATATCAAAAAGTTCCTCGAGCCTAAAATATGTTGCCCTTACCAAAGCGGTTATCGGTAGGTTTCAGATGTCCTTGAATACAAAGTTCATTGATTCAACGAGGTTTGTAGTCATGTAGCCCCATCGTTGTCCATTGTCGTATGCCATTCTCCATTTCTCTAGTTGAATATTATCAATCCATCTTAATGCTTATGTGTTTGTCAGTCTGATCTCGTAATGGTAGTGTTTGAAAGTAGGCTCTGTTAGTACATACCATGCGTTCACAACCTTCTTCCATAGCGTTTTGTCCTTGATCTCCCGCATGAAATTTTGAGCGATGTGTCTTATGCAATACACATGAGTTGAGGGAGAATCTTGCCAACCGTTATCAAGATTCTTGTATGCACTTTCGATTGATGGATGTCTATCAGAGATCAAACATAAGTTAGGTTAGGGAGACACGTATAATCGGATATTTTTTAGGAAAAAAAATCCAACCCCTAGCAGTCTCCCCTTCAACTAGAGCGAAGGCGATTGGAAAAATGTTGATGTTGTCATCCTGTGCCACTGCCATGAGTAGTGTGCACTTATATTTCCCGTACAACTATGTTCCATTAATTTGAATAATAAGTTTACAGTACGCAAAGCCTTTGATACATGGTTCAAATGCCCAGAAGAGTCTGTGGAAAAATCCATTTCCACTGACATAAGTTCCGTCTGGCATATACGCCGACAATGTATCCGAGATGGCAACAGTTCCTGGAGCATATTGTTTAAGTGCCACCAAGTATTTTAGAAGTTCTTTGTAAGAATCCTCCCAATTTTCGAACACCTTTTCGATCGACTTAGTCCTAGCTATCCATGCTTTCTTGTACGAAGGAGTATAGTTGTATCTTTGAACCATATGCAAGATTATGGTACTCACCTTTAAAGAAGGATTGTCGCTAATGACAGGCAAAGTTTCATTTCATATCAACTGAGAGCTGAGTTTGCGATGATCCTCATTGGATTCGTGAATATACAAGTGTGCTTTGGATCCATTGACCCTATCTTCCATGAATCTCTTCTCTTCCGAAAAGATGCTGTCAATCGAGACGGGCACACCTTGTTACGGAAGTAGATCTTATACAGAGTCGCCGACTCTATAGTATGATGATAATTCTATGTGATATTGTTTTATAGCTCGGACTCAGTCTTCTTTTATACAAAAATTAATACTCTTTCCGTTTGCATGCATGGATTGAAAAAAATATCTATTGATGGTTCATCTGCACCTAAGTTGAGACTTGCCATGTGTTGAGATGGGCAATAAATATGACTGGCAGGTACTATATCTTCCACATGGTTGGAAGTGGAATTGTTTACCATTTCATCAACAATGACTTCAACTTCATCTTCTTCTTCGTCTACGACATCAACTTCAGCTTGTTCGTCGTCCAATTCATAAAAAACTTGAGAAGGATCAATAAGTTGAGACAATTGTTGTTGTTGTAACATAATATATAGCTAAATATCACTGAAACCAGAACACTCATGACTGAGAAACATATTACACACAT